TCCAACCTCATCCCATTGAAAGCACACCTGCGGACAATCATCTGCTCACTCTGCGCCCTGAGACTGTCGTCCGAGTCTGGGGAAGCACAGCCTGGGGCTATTAGAAGCAGCTGTTGGGGGGCGATGGCGCTCATCATTCTCGCCCAGCGTATTCTGGGACAATTTGTTGGTGAAGCTCACCTGGGCAGCCGGGCACAGCAGATCGCCTTGAAACAAACGCCCGCTATCGGAAACGTCCCGTGTGGTGCATCATCCAAGCCAACACCGGCTTCGCGCTTCGAGGGAGGCTCCGCCCGGGGCCGTCTCGCCAGGGTCCAGGCGCGGGGCAAAAGGCGAGGCCTAGGCCTTGTATCGTTGAGCCTCGCATCGGTAGTTGAACCCTGATGCATCATCATGGGAGAGACTGCGTATAGATGCTTGCTTCTAACCTCTTCAACTCCTGAACAACTACTGTTCGCGAACGAACGAACACCGGGTATCTCACCAGCGTCCCAAAGATGCAACCATGCCGTTCACCAGATCATCGGGAGTCTACCCCAAATCACTACGGTTCAGCGCCTGCTCCTGCTCGTCGTCATGGTGCCCTTCACCCCGCTCTCCTACCCCGGTGCCTGACTTGCCATCGTTCTCGTTATTTTCGGCCCCGCCATCGTTGCCCGTTGTGGGCGAAGCGACAACCCCGGCAGGCGGCACGAATGATTCGTCCTCAGCATCCAGCTGCATGAGGAAAGTCTCCCACATCTCGATCAGCTGAAGGTGAATGTTAGCCAATGTTTCCAGCACAGCTTGGAACCACCATACCTCTTTCTGGGCCTCAACCGCACTCTCAAGATACGTCTCAACCCCCGACTTGAAGTCCTCCACCTTCTCCTTCTCGAACCTCTCCAACTCCCCTCTCATCAACCGGCCCATATCCTCAAACAGCAGCCTTGCCTGGTGTACCCGCTTCTCCGCATCCTGCACCTCCGCGCCCACTTGGTTCAGCCGGTCCTGCTGAGACCGCCCTTGCCGGAGCAGTTTGTCGTGTGTCGCTTTCTTTTTCTGCAGGTCCGACTCGGCCGAGTGCCACGTGTGGTATGCCTTTTGCCGTTGCTGGAACGCCGTCTTGACAGACCCAATAAGCCGAATGTACTCATCGATGACGATGCCGAACGTGAGCACGTCCTGCTGCGCCTGCCGCTGGTAAAGCTCGCGGATGCGCAGTTGAATGTCTGAGAGGCTGTCAAGAGGGTCTGAGAGCGAGGGCGCGAGTTCGACTGCCGCGAGAGAGTGCAATGACGCCGAGAACTCCCCTGCGACTTCGGCGAGCCCTTTGCGCTGAGCTACCACCGTGTCCATCGACTTCAGGAGAGCCTTGAGCTGATTCTCGAGCGCGTCCAGGTATATTCGCCGGTCATGGAACCACTTTGCAAACGTTAGCACAGTACAGTGAAGCATGTGTGCCACCTACATCGTCATGTTCAATGAACTTGCCTCCGCCTCCTGACAGCATGCCTCCAAACATGCCCTTGCCCTCGCCGCCCAAGCCCGGGTCTTTGCGTTCCTTGTTCTTGATGTCGAGACTGAAAGCTTCGCTCTCCAGGAAGAGCTTCAAGTCGCTGTCGTGCTGTAGTACGGGGTGCGCCGCGATCTTGTTCAGCATGCGTTCCAAAGCAGCACGCCTCGACTCCACGAACTCGGCATCAAACCGGCTCATCGCATTCTTCTCCGGGGGTGGGGGTATGATGACGCCCGGGTTGTTGTTGTGCAGCTGGTTATAGAGCCAGAGAAAGTCCCGGTATCGGCGCGAGACAGTAAATTCGGGGTTGCGGTATCCTTTCGAACTCGTCTGCTGTTGTCAGCCAAGGTACATGGCAATTGGAGGGGTAGGCACACCTTCGTAGAAACAGAGTACTCGGTATGCGAGCCTGTAAGCTCTCCGACCTTATGTGGATCTCCAACGCTGATATGGAACGATGGTTTAGAAGCCTGCTCGATACTCACACTGGGTTGCGTCTGCCTTGCAGGTGTGTTACCGCTCGGAGGCTGGACTGGAGGCGGAACCCGTGGGCCTGAAGCTACGGGTGCGTCGTCGTCGTCATCGTCCAGGTTCACTGAGTCCATCATGCCCCGGATTGACGACGTCGAGGTTGCCGTTGTAGGGCGAGACCCCCGTGACGCCGGCGGCTCTTTTTGCGGGGGAGCAGGCGGAGCTTCTGCGGTCGGCGGAGGCGAAAGAGCTCCGAGGGGACCTAGAGGATCCTCGACAGCTTCCAGCCGTGTAGCTTGGACACCATGTTGTCGCTTTCGGGGCCCTCGTCCGGCCGGTGAGCGCGGTGCAGCGGCCGCGCCCGATCCAGTGCTTCCTGTCGCCTTATCAGAGGGTTGCGAGGCTTGCAGAGAGTCAGTCGGGGTTCCTCGAGCGTAATTGTCTAATGGCGCATTACCGGACTCCTCGATCTTGGGGACACTGGGAGGACTCGACCGAGAGGGGACATCTGGAGGTGGTTAGTGATCAAACAGCTGTAGGTAGTTCATTCAAGCCCTTACCTCCCCAGGGAGAGCTTCCTTCGTCGTCTAGATCCATGGTTTGAGGAGAATTGGGAGCTGTTACAGATGGTGTTGATGACGATGTGTTGCTTCGGCCATGCGCCGTCTAGGCCGGCCGGCCTTGGCGCTCCGCTTCTTAGTAGATTACCTTAGTCCAACTCACTTACACTCCACCACATCGTGTACCATTTTACTGTAGGTACCAGACTCCTTCTCTGAGTTCACTGTTCCGCTTAGTTCAGATCGTCAATCAAACTCCGATCAAATACAGACTCATCATGGCCAGATTGCACACACTTCAGTCAATGAATACTGGGCTTCTATGAAGGTATTTATTACCAACTCTATGGATACATATTCATCCGTGGATCGGCCCTCAGATTCTATCGAAAGTATACACCAGGGCCTCATAAAGTGGCGCCACCAACCGCCGCCTTGCCATGCTCACAAGTATAACACGTCTTCCCATCCTCCGTCTTGATCACACCCTTGATCAACCCCATCCTCTTCCCTAGATGCACAACCTCACTCTCCACGAAGATCTTCGACCCCTCCGGCGCCGGCCGCAAATATGTGCAGTTCAAAGTCCTGCTCACATGTCCCGTATCCCAGAAGCCGTCCCTTGAACACGCATTGATCGCCGTACTCGTGCAGATGTCGAAGATCAGGGCAACGGCGCCTCCGTGCAGATTCCCCGTCATGTTACATAGCTCTCGCGGGACGGTCATGGAGAATACGGTGGTAGCGTGGTGGGGGTTTGAGGGCGTGGGTTCGAAGGTTGCGCTTTCGAGGGTCATGATTTTGGGGAGCATGGAGTCGTGGCCCTGAAGCTGGTCAGAAGGGCAGCTCAGATGTTTTCGAAAATCATACATTATATTCTTCTCTTTTGGCAAGATTAAACCATTTTAGCACCTTCTCGAACACGGTCGCGTTGGGTGCGTCTTTCGCAAGCATCTCGTTGAAGAGCTTATAGCGGGAGGCCATGGTGTGGAGGGTAGGGATGACGGCGAATGATGTATTGTGGGTTTCAATGTCTTAGACGTGTTACCGCCGGAAAGAAAGTGTTGCGGCTACATTTGGAGCCTTCAGCTACACCCGCGATGCGAATCATGGGGCTGCCGAGGTTCACGGCACCCCCACGATGCACCGAAAAGGGCGCTAAAGCGGCAGGGCTAGACCTCTTTCGATCTAAACTCCAAAGTTTCTCGTCCATCCTCCGAGCGCAAGCCAACTCTCCAGCTATCTCTCCGCACTGTCCTCACATACACAATCATGGAACCACCCATACTATTACGCCAGCTCCTCCGAGCCCCAGCCTCCACCCGCACCCTCGTGCACTCCCACCCCCGCCCACAAACTTCCTTCTCGACACATCTATCCAATTCCCACCAACACCGCTACCTCTCCATCCCCCGCGTCATAACCCCCTCCTTCTGGGCCGCCCTAGTCCCCAAATTTTTCCGCCCAGGCGCAATCTCAGAATCCATTACCGGCCCGCGAAAACAACGATACAACCCCGCAACCCCCTTCATCGTCCTCAGTCTACTCGTAGGCTCGCAAGCCATCCAAACACTATGGCTAAAGCGCGACCGCGAACACTACATGCGTCGTGCGGAAGCGAAAATGGGTATACTGCGGGAGGTCATTGAGAGCGTACAGAAAGGCGAGGAGGTGGATGTTGAGAAAGTGCTGGGTACGGGGGATGTGGTGAAGGAGCGGGAGTGGAAGGAGGTGTTGGGGGAGATTAAGGAGGAGGAGGTGCTATTTCGGAGTAAGAAGAAGAGGAGGGCGTTGAGGGCGGCCGAGTTGGAGAGGGAGAAGGAGCTGGCGAAGGTTGAGGAGGAAGTGGAGGTTAGGGAAGTGGAGGTTAGGAAAGAGGAGGTGGTTGAGGATGATGGGAAGGTTAAGGTGGAGACGTTGAATGGGGCAAGGTTCTATTGAGTATAGTGGATCGCTGAAGGGGGGGGGGGGGGGGGGGGGGGGGGCGTCGCCGTTCGAAGGGATGAAGGTTGTACGAATATTCGAAGAGCTGCTCTTTACGATACCCAATATCTATCATTATCGCGTCCATCGCATCCACCAGCTCATCAATCCAGTTCAGAGAGTTAGAAAGCTGAACGGAATCGGTCTGCTGAGCTGAATGGGCCAAGAGAGTCATTCCACAGAGGCCTGCTTCAGGCAATGAACATTGATTTCTCCATGTACGCGTGTTACTGGCCCGAGAGCTCAATACGTTGCAAATCCATTCAAAGCGCACGATAACCTAGGAGCCCATTCCTTCCATAGACGTACGCCGTGCAGGCAAACGGACGGGCAAGATATTTATTTGTTTTTGCAATACACTTCCACGGACTACCCATTCAAGATTCCAAGCAGGCTTTGATGCAGGCTTTGATTGACGCCCAGCCAAACATCCAAGGGAGGGCATGTAAAGAAAAAAAGAGCAAAAAAGAATGGAAGGTTGTTGGACTTGAACCATAGCCGATTCGAACGGCTAACCTTCTGGAGACTCCGCAGAAGCTGGAATCAGACGCGCTACCGTTGCGCCAATGGTCCGATTGTTGAAGAAAGGGTGCCCGTAAAAACCTATTTATGCAATTTTGTCTTTGAGCATGAGTGATGCTTGCGATGGTTGTGAACACGGTCAAGATAAAGGGCGGCTAGGTGGAGGTTAAGCGAAAACAACAAGGATGTGCAGTCAGATCGCCTTACAACCCTGTGAGACTCGATGATTGGCTGGATTCGTAGAGGCAGGTTGAACAATAATGGCAATACAAGAAGGTCGTCCAGAGCGAATAACCTCCGGAAGCATTCTTCCGAGAGATTATACGGCCTTTGCATCAATTCATATCACACCCCACACACGCACCTCTCCATGCAACCCACACGCCCCAGCAATGCGCCGCCGCGCCCGCAACAACGCACACATGGAAGATCTGATGACTGCTGCCGAAGATGTCATACCTTCTCTGCGCCATCTTCTCTGGGAACCTGCTCGCAAAGAACGTCGCGCCGATTCCATACCATAGCCCCTCCAAGAGCCACCAAAGCACTCCTCTCTCCCAAAATGCGATCCGGAACCCGTAGAACAAGCACCCATGAACAACTGGAGCAAGACCCGATAGTGCGGTTAAGATAAACGCGGCGGTGCGGTGGGAGCGATACACCGGACCTTGAAGACGTGGGTGAAGGACCAAAGTACAGGTGATCAGCAGAAGAGAAAGGATCATGGTCCAGTAGAGGTTCTGGTGGAAAAGGGAGTCGTAGAACCCGACGTAGATGCCAGATATAAAGCTTGCGAGAATGAGGCCAAGAATACCGGTGTAATCGAGGAGTAGACAGCTAGCGGATACCACTGCGGAGTGGTTCATCAGAGTATGGTAGGTCGACGACAACGCCAATGTTGCCAAAGCTGCCATGGGCGTGAGCGTCAACACGAAGCGATCTAGTAGTGGCGCTTCTGGGTATAGTTGCGAGATTCTGAGTTGGAGCGTAGGCAGCGCAAGCGCTAGGATGGTCGCCGGTATCAGGTGAGTGTAGATGTTCAGCGTCTCATTGTGAAGGTATGTCAAGCTGCGGATACAGCTATGGTAGCTGTTAGAAACTGGCCGGTAAGCGGTGAGGATGTATGGGTTATCCTGGTACCATTTGGGAAGCGCGTCGAAGTTGCATAGACGGGGAGCATCACTTGTGTAAGTGCCGTCGATGCCCTGTGTCGTGTCCTGCGTCGGCTTGCGAAATAGTAGGTAAGGACGTCGAAGTGCCAATGCGAGCGTCGCCATCACAAGACGTCGCTGGACATGAACTCTGGCCGCTTCAGGGGCTCAGGTTGACTGATAAATATCCAAGAGCGCTCTGGTTGTGACGTTCGCGGATTCTGACACAGCGGTCGGTCACCCTGAGTGAAAAAAAAGTGAATAGGCGTGGTATTGACCTCGGGAAGATTGCTGCAAGGCGAAGGGTTGCGGCCGCCTTTTCAGTCGAATCATATGATGAGGTGGAGTAGTTGTCGATCGGCCGATTGATTGATAAGGGAAGGTGCAGTGCAGACCGGAATTAGCGGAATGCGCGATTTGTCGCATCATACGAAGAATCGGAATATAGCGCACCTCAAAACTTTGAGCTTCTCGGTGTTCATATGAGCTCTTCATCTCTGCGAATTGTTATGCCAGGGAATACTGCTGTATTGAATAGGTCGTCGCAACCCTTGGGACCACCTGGGCAGTGACTTCGTGGACTCACGGCAGCTCATCGATACCCTTGGTACGTCCCTTCTGGAAATGTTTCAGCCCTACGCACTATGGAGAGAGGCTCAATCTGGCAGAAGAAGGCAGCCAAATATCTCTGGACGTCTCTTTCCGTGTACTCGTGGGAGTGCTGTTAGAGGCAAGGAGCCACCAACCACCCTTGTTTCATTTTATACGATGGACGGATGCAGCACAAAAAACTCCTTGCATTCTCTATCTCTCTTGTCGAGTGAACGGTGACCCATCTGTGCTTGGCCCGGAGGTCCCCGTCTCGGAGATACCGTAATGGAAGGTTTACTATCAACACATGTGCTCAAAAATCTCATCCTCATCCTCCTCTTCTTCCTGTAACAGATGGTCCCAACAAAGTTTGCGGTCCTGGCTTGCGACGATTGCGGAAACGTGAAGTCATCATGGATCTCATCTTTGATTGATCGTATCCTCATGATATGGGCCCAAGCAGTATCACGGCTGGCAACAAGCCCTTCATGATCAGAAGTGGCTTTGACGAGTTTCCCAGGCGGTAAGGAAACAAGTCCATATGGGCTCAAAGATGTTCACGCGCTGCGGCAACAAACAGACCTTTCAGGCTCCTCCGCTTGCTTTTGCCCCATGGGTAGGCATTGTGACAACGGTGTGGGATACGTCTGAAGATTTGCCCTAGTCACGAAAGCCGAAAACGTCAGTAGGTCTATCACCGGCGCAAGGACAATCCCATGCGCATGGATTTCTGAGTGGATACGAAGTGGACTTTTCGAAGATATAAAAGCTACTTCAACATCAGTTCACTCGCTTCCTCACGCCAGATCGCATCATCACTTGTTACCTACTACAGCCTTTCATCTTCCGTTGCAATCTCGAATCTCCTCGCATACATCAAGGTCCAATTTCAATACAGACTTCGTCCCAAACACCGCCATGTCAATGCGCAAAGAAGAAAATCCTGAACTTCAGGGATCGTTGGACTCAAGACATCTTATCTCACCGCCGGATACCGTTCGCGGCTCGACTTCTCCGTCGTTGAAAGCATCAGACAAGGCTTGGTCGCCCTCAGCTTCGACAAGGAGTGACAGGGAGATCTCGGACCGTGGTCAGGTTGGGGATCCAAAAACAGCAATCGGTCTTCTGTATTTCCAACTGGATGAATGTCCTGAACTGAAAGTATTCGACATCTACACCTGCACTGTAGGTGGGGAAAAGGTGGGAAGCCGTAAACTCCGCTTCAAAGCAATCCAGGAGGTTTTGAGAAACCCCGTCTTCGAACGCTTCAGAGAGATCACCGCGGTAATCCCAGCCAAACAACACAAGACGATCAACAATTGCGACCACTTGATAATTCCAGCCGTTGACGAGAATGCCTTTCAGATGGTACTTCAACGAGTAGAAAATGACCCAAACTTTTGGCCTTCGGAAACAGAACAAATCGTCCAATCGGGTGGTAGAGGTATGCCAGCCGTGAAGATTGCATTGCGTTGCGAGGTCCGGGCGAAGAGCTACCGATCGATCCAAGACAAGGGCGACAACGACAGTCTGTACCCTGAATACTTCCAGATGGTGCTTAGGACAATCGCAACTCGAAGCGACGAGAGGTACATGTCGGATTCAGTGTACAAATCCAATAGCGTACTCTGGGAACCTCTTTCTGAGAGTCGCGATGACCTCTTTGCGGAGTCGAGGGTTACTTCACGAAAAGGTCGTCTTGATCGGTGTTCCGCAATTTCACCCAGAATCCAGTACAAGTTGAGCGTGGACAAGGACCACGCTTCTAAGATACTTCTGGATGTCAATGTGGTACCCTATCTGAGCAAGAAGTCCATCGATGAGGTCGTCTTCGACCTTTCGGGTGCAATGTTCTCGGCGTCCCTCATCATCAAGACGTCGAAAAGATTAGACGAGTACTCGTTGGGCTTCACGTGGAATGTCTATACTGGTCGGGAAAGAACAAAGACGGATCTCCTGACGGAGGATTGATCCAAAGCTTAGCGCCGGTATCCTTCAAGGAACATTGGTCACCTCCAACCCAGAAAGGGCTTCGGCACGTGATTTCCGAAGTCAGACAACCAAGCGAAGTTGAGGACTTCGTGGTAAAGACTGCTGAGAACCCCAAACAAAGGGTATCTGTTGCTTCATTCTTCAACAAATGTAAGGTCAGTCATTGTGTTCTGGACACTGAGAGCTAACAAGCAGCAGTTATCTTGGCTCGAGAGAAGAAACAGCTGAAGTACGAAGGGCTTCCACTGGCCAACATAGGTAAGCCCGCTCCTGGGAAGCAAGTCTGGGTGCCACTGGAAATGCTGCGACTGCATCACGAGCAGGTACTCAGAGGTGCCGGTCACCTTATAAATGAACTCAAGGCCAAGCGTGACCACCTCGTAAGCAGTAATCACGGAAAGAGAGTAATCAAGAGCTATGGAGATAATCTAATGATGTTTCTCACCCAGGTCTGTACAAGTAACTCTGCGAAATCTTTTCCTTACTGATGCAGTTCCAGGAACTCGGTTACTCCGAGGCCCGGACACCAGAACAGACGATTTTCATTCCGACAGCATGCAAAAGCGGTCCCACGGAAAGTCCAGCGCCTCGTGAAAAGCGTGCTCCAGTTCAGTCAACTGAAGCCAAGTCAACTGATCGGCATAAGCTCGCTGTTGTTTACGTGGGCGCTTGTGCACATCAGCCTTCCCACGGCTCTATAGAAGAGGCTGGAAAACTGGCAAAGCTTCGGGATGACCAAAAAGACTTCATCAAAGACGTTGCTCGGAGACTAGAATCCTCCGACATGATATCATTCGCTGGCAATTCCCACACTGCTATCGTTTACCGTCGCGAGGCTATTGTTAACAAGGCCGCCAATGTTTCAGCGCTTTTCGAAGAAAACCTCGACAGCGACTCCTTTCCAGACGTTGTCTTAGGGGTTGTGTCCACGCTGGGTCGAACAAAGTCTGAAGTTCGTCAGATCTATGCCGACATTCAAGACTTGGAGAGGCGCATATGCGTGCAGTTACGGTATGCACTACGGAGCAGTCTCTAAAGCAACTCATCCAAGACGAGTCCGATTCCAAATACGTTCCCGGAAACATCCAGCGCAAGCTTGTTTACATGCTTGGAGGGCTCAACTTTGAGACAGATACTTTCTGGGCTATGTCTGAGCAAGGTGCAAACCTAGGAATTGGAGATGTCATGGTGGTGGGAGCTCATCTCTACCACCATGGCTATGGAGCGCTCCCACATTCTCCGTCGGTGGCTGGAGTAGTTGCTACCCATAGCCCAAAGGCTACTCATTTCCCTGGGTCTGTACAGCTGCAGAAGCGA